TCACGGGTAAGTTAATATCTCGGGAACCACGGAGTCCAGGAGGCTGAAATTTTAGGGTAATGACCCTCTGCCCACGCTCAGCCTTGCCCATTCAAATTCAGCCTTCCCATACCCGCGGGTAAAACGCATTATCGCACCGGCAAGTCTGGTGCGCGTTGCTATTTATTCGTTTTGAGTCTGCACTGCCCGGTACGCCACAGGGGCCCTGTTTTTTTGTTTTCACGAGCAGTGAGGGATACGTGTAAATGCAGCTGTATTTTATATATAAACATTTTAGGGGAGAAAGTTGAAGCTCCCAAAGCACAGGATTCTGAGCAAGGATGAGCTGCCGGAAGAAAAGGAACGAAAAAGTGGTGTTATTTATTTTCAAACATTACCACCACATTTCACGGTTTCACGGATGCGCAATGAAATGAGTAAATTTGGCGAAATTGGAAGGATTTTTCTACAGGTCAGTTTTTTTTTTAAAGCAAAATTCTACAGTGATTTCTTTTTTATTCGGACAAAAAGCCTGGGATACGCTGAATATGTCCTGAATAATCTCCGGACATTCGGAGAAATATCTCCGGATACGCTGAATATGCCAAAACTTCGGATTTTTCATCCTTCTTTTTTCGTTCTGCTCAACTGCACACCCGCTTTTCATCTGTACTACTTGTTTCAAGAATGATATAGCTGAAATCTGTACGCCCAATTATTAGTGATTCTCACATTTACAGGGATTTTGATCGTCTAAGGTTTGGTGATATTGGCGTCCGAAAACTAGAAGCCGAAATTTAGTTTTTTAATTTTTGGCAGCAGAAAAACGTCTTTCCCTTTCGCAATAACAATTTTCTAGGCTGAAAAACGTCGTGATGCTAAGGGAAAACGCCGTAAACGATACGTAGAGGGATGGGTGGAATTCAAGAAAAAAAGCCTGGCAAAACGAGTAGCTGCTTCGCTGAACAGCACACCTGTTGGTGGAAAGCGCCGTAGTGTGGCCAGAGAGTCACTGTGGACAATGAAATACCTAAGTGGGTTAGTTCTTTTTTTTTCTTTTTTGATGCACTGTTACTGCTACTACGATCACCACCTGAACTGTTAGTTTGGCTTTGGGCTTCAGTGTTACAGAAGCAATACCGTTTGGTCAAGCGTCACGGATGATGAAAGTGAAGGACAAAATTTCGGGTGTTTCAGAAATTTTAACCTTACTTTTCTAACAATATAGATTCAAATGGACTCATCTTGTCGAACAGCTCAGTTACGAGAATCGTGTTGAGCAGCAACGAATGCGCCTTGAAATAGCCCAAGCAAAACGACAAGCTTCCTTTTTTGCTGAGCAAGTGGAGAAAGGAGAGCAGCTGAGAAAGCTGGAAGAGAAAGTAAGCAGCTTTACCGAATCTTTTTTTTTGCAATGAATGAGTCCGAAAAAATCCGAAAAAAAAAGTCCAAAAAAAAAATGTCCGAAAAAGAATGAGTGAATTACGAACGATGTATGAATGGAGCGGTCGTAATGAGTGAGTGAATAGCAGAATATTTAGAGCTCTAATGGTTCTGAAACTTGCACATTCCACAAAGATTGTTCTGCACCACCGGTCTCCCAATCCCAACGATACTAGTAGCTGCATGATCGAATTTAATCCTAACTTCTAATAACTTCAGTTACCACAGTCGTAGTACTGATGAGGTCCAATTGTGGTAAAGGTAAGAAATGTATACAACTTAATGAACTGAAACATTTTTTACCATTATAATAAACTCACAGATTTTCTAGTTATC